CATCTACTAGATCAGTTTCTAGAATTTGGCATGAAGGAAAATATTTTAGTACTACCGGATTTCTCTTCTAAGCTATTGAATAGATATCAAAATATATTTCAAACAAATGAAAAATATCCCTTTTCGTCATCAAACAAATATAAAATCTTTATCGAAGGCTTTGGATATGTCACATATCTACACCTACTTTTGTTAACATGCACAATCAAATTCATATTGACAAAAAGTGGTTTTATATATCTAAAACATCGCAAAAGTATTATTTCCATTCTGATGAAACGAAGCCCTTTCGCACGTGTAATAGTAAAAGATTTATTACAAAAATAATATTTTTGATTGCCGTTGCTTGTCCATGATTTGATGCTACTACGAATGAAGAATTCAACAGCAAAATTAGAATATGATGACTTTGCTGATATCTATTGTACTTATGGATGGTGTCAGCTTGGATATTCGTCAGTCCAACTAACTCCTGTGATTTCTATTAACCCGTATGCTTATGACAATTTCATTCTTATTCTTTACCTTTTTTTGCAATCATAATATCTAGATGATCTACCTAATGAGAAATCAATGCACTGTAAATCGATCTAAACACTTTGTAGCATAGATTGGTTTCCTATAAAAATTCCTTCTTGATTCTATTAATTTCTGCAATTTAAACACTTCCTAAATTAAAGAAAGTTCTTTTGAACACGTGATGAGATGATAGATGTTACCCTATATATAATCTGTTTAAAGACACATACAAAAAATGTGATCAAACATATCATTGACAACAAACAAGAAGATGAAATAGGCATATGCTTGTGGTCAAAATAAATCCTTGAACATGGCATACTGTTTCTTGATATGAGCATCGGCTTTATTAGCAAAAGCATCAATCTAGTCCCCGTAGAATTTGGGTGAATAAATTTTGTGTTAAGACTTGGGGTTTCATCTTAAAATGTCAACATTGTTAAGAGGAGTAGCCCAAAACCTTATAAGTTAGTCTATGTTATCATCTTTATTCGATGTGGGATAATATCCCTTAACATGCCCCCGTAAAATAGTGGCTCGTTTGAATAGACCAATTTTGAAATCTGTATGCTCATTTATTGAGTTTTAATTGAGTCAAATCGCTCGTTAGAATTTAATGGATTCTGATATCATGTTAAGATTTGAAATTTCATCTTAAAATGTAAACCTTGTTACAAGGAGTAGCTTAAAACCTTATAAGTTAGTCTATTTTATCATCTTTATTCGATGTGGAATAATATCCCTTAACATTTTGATCATCTAAGAAACAGCACGTTGATGCTCTGGAGAAGCGAAAATATAACCATCTTCTTTACACGGAGCATTCAAATCAAGAAATGGCCTCATCACTTTCTTCGAGTTAAAATCATTTCTAAAAATTGTTGCACAATTATCTTCGCTAGGATTGATGGAATGTGGATGATTTATAGGTTTTGTACTCATGGCTTAGACAAAGGAATAAGAGAATCACATATGTAGAGAAATTAGGGTAATCGGAAGACAATGAAGAAGTGAGAGGTGTGTGTGAATGTATTTTTGTGAATGAATGTGTTTTTCAAAAGATGGTATCGTGCGTGAAGACATTAGAAGCATATTTTCGTACTCATGATAGCGAAGTGGGAGAATCACATGAATCATAGTGAACAAGACAATAAATGTGTTTTTGTCCATGTTTCCAAGAAGAAATGGAAAATGTGTGTGTATTTGGATAATTCTAAGAAGGTAAATTAAAATCTGTACAATTTCAAGTTTTATTGGGAAGATTTGGTTATAACTAGGCAAATTAAATAAGGGTATATTAGTCGGCCTATATACATGTGACAATTCTAAATAATATAATTTGAATTTCCCTTAAGCATCGATAACATTAGTTTGGACATCGCGTGGTCCAAACTTACTGCTTCGAGCTGGTGCCTATGTTATGCCATGTCAAGTGTAACGACAGCAAACTAGATGTTCTCTTAGTCTGGCTTAAGGAGGAAAATTACAAAGCTAAAGCTATTAACTATTTTAGTAGGTTCTACTCACCAATTCTAATGACCACCATATGCTACTAGCAAAGGGAATTACTCTACGCTCCTATAACCCCCACCCTGCCAAAAAAAAAAAAAAAAAAAAAAGAGGAGAAAAAGAAGCCCCCCGGAGCACAGCTCAACTGGTGGATCAATCAACATTGGCTTGCTTCCAGCGATAAGGTGGAGAGTTCGATTCTTGGTGAGAACGTGCGGCCAAAAATTTGGTATAGAGCAATCACTGTGGATGAGAGTCTCTTGTGCGCAGAAGTGTACAGTCAATGGAGGGAACCTGTGATCTAGTGGAGGCATAACCCGCGATTTACCCCCTCCAAGGTTCTAGGGACATGGGTCTTGGAGGTCCAAAATTTAGTTTGGTGTAAATTGGAATACCTGAATTAAAAAAAAAAAAAAAAAAAGAGGCCATATCTAGATGACGTGCATGAAGAGCAGAAGTGGAGGGGAGAGTTAATAGATAGAGGCAAAAGAAGTTCAGAAGAAAAATCATCTTCCTTCCTAAGGCGATGTCAACCCTACCCCAAAATTTGCAACAAATCTTGCACCAAACTAAATTCATCTCCAACCATTACACCAAAAATTATACCAAATGAACAGTGTTTAACCATTTTCTTCCCTTTTTTTAATTCTTTATAATTTACTTATTTGAAATATTATTTATTTAATTATTTCATAAATACATTAATTACTAAATAAATAATTACATCAAATTACGAAAAAAATTAAATTCATTAATAAATATAAAAAAACATAGAACAATTAATAAAAATACTACAACACCGAAAATATGAAATCATGTCATCAGAAAATAATACAATGCATTTCGAATTTGGATAGACGATATTACAAAGTCGCTAAATTTTTGCAATTTAATTCTCAGAATTCATATGTTCATCTCACAAATGATCGATTAATGCATTTCGAAGTGCAATGTGAGTTTCTTTATTCTTGATTTGTCTATGATGAGCAAGGAATTCTTGAAAATGCCGATTTTCGTCTTCAACCAACTCAACTTCTAAACTTGACGCTTCCGTCCATTCTTGAACTGGTACATCAACATTACCTTCGTCCTCGATAATCATGTTATGCATTATTATGCATGTAGTCATGATATCATGTAATACTTGTTTTTCCCAAAACCTTGCGGGTCCTTTCCTTATTGCAAACTTCGATTGTAGAACACCAAATGCACGTTCAACATCTTTTCTATTCGTGTTAATTTTAATAAATAATCGTGTTTGATGTATTTAAAATTGTTTTCGTCTTTTAATTAAAATATTAATTATTATGTCTTACATTTAAAATTTATTTTAAATACAAATAATATTAATATTAATATTAATAAAAAATAATAATAATTTATAGTATTTAAAAAATATATAGCACAAATGACATAAATACCCTCAACAAATTCATTTGGAAAATGTTAAATAAGGGCAAAATGAACATTTTACACTTTGCACCATTTTGGTTTGGTGTTGGGTTGGAGCAACTTTACACCAAAAAATGGTGCAATGGTTGGAGATGCCCTAAGCCACTGAGGAAAAACTGTTGCTGCTATATGATGAAAACAATCAGAAGGAACGAATAACAGTTATTGGCCAGACTCATTCTAAGTTTGATCTAATAAAATTCATAAATGTTGAGAGGAAAAAGAAAAAACTAGCAGTAATTGCACTTCCTCAGAGAATTGGAGAAACACGTATGATCTGGTTTGAACCTGTCTTAACTGAAAATGGCAAATGCATTACTAACAATTTATGAGCAATTTTGGCTAGATAGCCAATTTATGCAATCATGTTCCTTGAACAATTGTAGCGAGTATGAGGGAAATCGATATTGAGTACTACGTCTCCTTAAAATTTTCTCAGCAACATGAAAAATGTATTTTAACTGTTGTAAACTATGGAACCTGGTACATCCATGCCATTTCTGATAACAACAAAATATATAAATTCGGAAAGGAACTAAATGGCACTCTACACTGAAGATCCAAAAATTGTACGTTAATCGTCATGTATGCTCATGAAACCACCAATGTAGCCTGCACCATTACAATCACCACACAGAATCTCCTTTTTACCCCTGCACAAGAGTTGACGTGAATATTAAACTGGTGATTGATAAGAGAGAAGGTTGTTAGTTTCTGCAGCGGTGGAAGCTATGCAGTGATACATGAATCCAGGAAGTTGGATTTTTTTCTTTTCTCCAGGGAAGGGCGGGGGAGGGGGGATTAGAGTGAAATGAAGGCAAGAATATGTAATGGGAAAATGGAAATGCTAAGAGGTGCGACAGCATGCCAACACAATAGTTAGGGATCAGGTTAACTAGGCAAATTTGCCCCTGATAAAGGTAAAGGGACGAAGTAGATCGACTACAAGAACAAATTAAGCTTTGTTTCCAATAAACTCAGAGTAAGCTAAATGAATAGTTTTTGGTTCTCCCTTCAGTTCATTGCTAAACTTTGGTCTAGCGAAATTCATAAATGCCAACTTGAAAAAATAACTAGCATTCATTGTACTTCCTGAGAGAAGGAAAAACATGTAACATGCATTGCTTTCAGACTTGATCTTGTTTTAGCCTTTCTTAATAGCATATGGAAAGTGCATTACAAATATTTGACGTACTGTTTTGACTAGCCTACAGATACTAACAGGTAGCTTCAACAATTGTACAAAGTATGAAATTGAGTACATTACTTTCTTCAAATATTTTCCCAGACACACTGAAAAGGTATTTAAAAAAAAAAAAGTACTATAATGCAGCCTGGTACGTCCTTGCCATCCTGATAACACCAAGACGAAATATTCAGAGGGAAAACCAGTGGCACCTTATACTGAAATCCAACATCGTATATTATTCGTCCTTTGTGCTCAGGAAACCACCAACGAATCCCGCACCATTACAATTACCACACAGAATCTTCTTTTTTCCACTGCACAAGAGCTGACATGACTATAAAACTGGTGACTGATAAGAGGTCACTAATTTCTGTCATAAATGGAAGCCATATTGTCATATATGAACCCCATACGTAAGAATATTTTTCTTTTCTAGGTAGAAGAGGGGGAAGGGGGATGACTTTACAGTTAACAATCAAGTTTACTAGGAAACTTTGCCTATGTTTTTCTGTAACCAGTTCCGTGAAGGGAGGAGGTGCACTAGATTGCCATAAACTAACTAAGCCTTGTTCCAAATAAATTGATGGCAACTATGTTAAATCACTTTGTACATTATGTTGGTTCATCCTTACAAGCAAAATGTTGCATCGGATGTTATGTGCATGAAAAGTGGGTAAGAGTTGAGACTTACCCCATATGCAACATATTTTGACACTAGAAGAAATTGAAAAGTAAGCAAGGGTTTTCACTCTCCCATGGACATGGATGGATAAAAAAGTTAGTACAAAATAATAGAATTACAATAGGAATTTGTAATAGGACATCAATAAGAAATATCCTTAGAACTAATAGAAGAGATGCATGTGAAGAAAATTAACACAACTTGCAAAAAAGAGTTAGGTGACAGAATTAGGAAAACAGGATATAAAATGTGTTACATGGACAAGGGAAAGAGTAGAAATTGGATTGATCATTGTACCAAAATTTAAAAGAAAAACTCGTAGAAGTTACACATAAAGAAGAATTATATTAGTTAAATTTAGTTTAGAGAAATCTCAACTAGTGTTACTAGTACTTTGTTCTCCAACAATACTATAAAATGAAGAAATCAAGCAATGGTTTTGCTAAAACATGGAAAAGTTGCACAATGCAATTCCTACCAAGATAAGATCTTTGCTGGATAAGATGTCAATGCTCATGTGGAAAAAATGTTAATCCAAATGAGAGAAGTACAAATAAATTTTTACTGGGAAGAAGAATATAATATTATTTTGAACTTTGAGAAGGCTTATTATTTGGAGTCAGAAATATATGCTTCAGACTCTTATATAACAAATTTTAGGAAATAGGCAAACGAAATTAATAGATCATTCTTACTAGGAAGAGATAGATCATCATGTAAAGATTTTAAGGTAATAACTGATGAAGAGCGTATCTGGCATGAATTGGTGATACTTGATGTGTTTTATATAAAAATTGACAATTATGAAAGAGGTTCAATTTCACAGAACAAGATAGCTGAACTTGCAGAGTGAAAGACAAATAATTTTCAAGGATAAGAGAGAGAGAAACATGATGTGGAATGATGTGCCTAGTAATATTTGAACTTAGAAAAGAAGGTTTTTGGAGAGTCTAACAGTAGAAAGGCCACCTAATGAGGAAAATGCAGAGATTTCGAAACTTATAATTTAGCTAAAAAGAAGCTAAATGGTGGTTAATGCCTTGGCAGAAACATATAAGTAGCATAGTTATCTTGGAACAAAGGAAAGAAGAAAGTTGTGGCTAGCTATCATAACAAAGAGAGAAGGGTCACAAGGATTTAAATCAAGTAAGCAGTTAAACACTAAATCCAAGAAATTCCTTTTTCATAGACGTGAAGTTACAGAAATGTTAACTCTACTATCTGGTTCATATAGATAAGGGGGCTGTGAAGAGGCCGAAGACAAGAAAACCAATTGGTCTAGATAGAACTGCAAACAAAGTGTAGAAATGCCGTTAAGAAAAAAAATGCAAGATGAACACAGGAGAGTGAGTGTGTATTGAAATTTATGTGATATTTAAGATAATTTGTATTATAGTTGTATTAGGCTCATAAGTTAGATCTATGAGAGCGAGAGAGAGAGCCTATAGTAAAGTGCCATTCAAGGGTTTGGTGGAACCAATCTTGTTTTCTACTATTAAGATCTGCCATGTAAGTTATTTTCATAAATCAGAGGTCAATGAAACAAGAGAAACAAAATATAATGTAGTTTTTATTAATTCAAAGAAGTCTAAGGTAGGTACCCCATCAAAATGTTGGGATTGGTGCCAAAGAAAAATGAAGGAGGAAAAAAATTTATATTAGATGCATCAATATTATTAAGGATACAAGTTATAGAGTAGTTATGATCAAGCAGCGGTAGTAGTAGAGGATTTTCTATTACTATATGTTTGCACTAAGGTTTTGTCTCAAGTCCCATCTTTCCGCTTCATGAATGAATTATTACAAGACAGATTTAAGATAACCCATTTGAGTATTTTATTTGTTAGTAACATAGTTTTAGTTGATGATACAAGTGGGATATAAATTGTAAGTTAAAAATTCAGAGAACTTTGAAATTTTTAAAGATTTGCAGAAATAAGATACAACATACAGGATGTCTTTTCAATTATACTAACGTTAAAGAAAAGAACGGAGCCACTAGAGAGAATTGTTCAGTATCATAGAGGGATTGTTTTATTTAGGTGCCATAACTAATAAAGGACTTAAAAAGATTGTATAGGATTATGGCGGGTGTATGAAAGTTTACTTTTATGGTGATTCTATGTAATTGATAGATTAAAAAACAATTTCAACAAAATGGCTATTAAATCAGCTATGCTTTATGCTAGTGGGTGATAAGTAATTAAAAGATAAAATGTCTATAAGACTCACTTAGCAGGACATGAAAATGTAAAGATAAAAATTCATACTAGAATGGAAAACAAGAGCATAGAGAAACTAGTGGTAGAATCACTAATTAAGCCTAAGGGGCAAACAATTAGGCAGATGGGGCATGCCTTGTGTATATGTAAAGATATCTTGTCGACAGATGACTAAATCTTCAGTAGACATATTAGAACAGGATGATATAAACTAAATAAATATGACTTGATGGGGTTGCAAAGAATTTGATTACTTTGGATCTCCTGGTAGTGGTAGATATAGCGATGGATCCAACAGATCAATGTAAATGGATTCATCAAGTTGACCTCAAATCTATTAGGAAGAAGAGTTAGTTTGTTATTGTTGTTGGATAGAGTTAAGTAGGCATAGATTTAGAAATAGTTCAAGTAAGCCTCTTAAGAATCAGAACTTGATGAAAACCAAGATGCCCTGAAGACCGACTAACATAATTTGAGGAGATATTAGAAAAAAAGAATGAGATATTAGAAAAAAAGAATGAGTGCCAGACAAAATTATACTATCTAGTTAAGGGAAATGGAAAATGAGTGACTGGTTGCTTAGTACATCCTTGAAGCAGAATATGTAAACTTAAAGCCAGTTGCATGAAGCAGTAAATCAAACGATTTGCCATAATGTGAAATTTACCAAAATTATAATATGATTGCTTGATAAAGTGAATAACTTAGAAGTTACATTATACATCAAGAAGACAAGAGCAATATTATCATGGTTCCCAGATAACAAATGGATAATTTCAGAAATTCTATTTTAGCTCTATATGCAGTCAAGCAAAATGTTTTCGGAGTTCTATATTTCTGTTGACACACTAAAAGTGCAGCCCAAATCAAATAGTCCAAAAAGTGAATCCCAATTGGAGAGTTCAGGATAAAGGTCTAAACAGGATTATTAATGAATGCAGTGGAAGCCCACGAATATAGTAACATCATCGTCCAAACTTGCAAGAGACCCAAAATTTGAGCGAATGGAGTGCCTTACGATCGCCCATTGCTATGACCTCGTTCTCGCCCAAACCTTTGAATCGTCCAAGATCTTAACAAACATAAAATATTATAGTTATCCAAGATAATAGTTATTGAAGCAGTTATTGAGTAATCTTATCATATTCCACGATTTAAGGAGCCCAGTTGAAGGTGGTTGAACGACTAAGAGTAATGGCAGCAATTAGAGACGACAGTTCCACGACAAGTTAGCCACCATAAAAAAAGTGGGTAGTTATAAAGCAATCAAGCAGTTTCCAAGCAGTTTGTCACGAAGAAATCATCAAGGGAATATAAAAAGGAAGAGAATACATAGAGAAAAAGGCCGGAATCAAACACTCTCAAACAGAAAATATATAATTTTAATTTCTCAGCTTAAATTTAAGCAATTCTTTTAGTACTCATGTGCTGCGTCCTTTGGAGGCATTCTGTTTATTTCCAATTGTAAATCATCACCAATAAAATACGATTTTTTGGAACTTTGTCTCAAGAGATCTATTCCTTACACAATCGTCTGATCCCTTTTTTAATTGTTAGCGACTATCCACACAACAATTTGGCACGCCCAGTGAGACATTGGAGTTTGGTGTTGAGGATACAACAAGTGAAACAATATGCCTCACAAATCTGATAAGGAAGTAGCAAGTCAGGGAGGAGTTCAGTCTGTAATCGAGCGATATGAGGAGCAGCAAAGCTCTCCACCAACAGAAGGACAGAGTCAGAGCAGTCACAGTCGTTACGAACTAATAACAGAGTTGAGTCCTCGAACCATGCGTGCATTGCTTGAGAACTCACACAAGATGTTGTTGAACAGGTAAATCTACGAAATGTTTATAATATGAAAAGATTTACCCAGAATGGGAATGCACATTATGACAACATGACCAAACAACTAAATATATTAAATGAAATAATGAATAAATTAGTAGGCCAAATTTGTCAGTCAGTTGTGCCTATTGCAAGTCACTTTCAAGTTAGGACAATTGTAGGACATAATTCCCCAGTCCTAAGTCCAAATCAAGGGATAGAACCACCTTTTGGTCCGTCTACTTCAAACCAGAGGATGGTTTAATGCCAAATCAGAATAGTGGTAATGATACATCTAACGTGGGGGTAACCTAAATGTAAGAAACAATGTCCTAAATAATGGACGGAATATCCCGCGTGTTAATAATGGAATAAATATTCAGGCTAATGGTAACAATGGCCTAAATCATGACAACTTTGTTGCCAACCAAGGACCAAATATCAGGCCTCAGGCAAATCAACCGATCAACCAACCTGTAGGAATTCCATATGACCCCAACTTCATGTTGAGAAATCAAATTATGGAAATAGTACAGGATCAAATGGCTTTTGGGGTACGTCATGTCATTAGACTGACTTATACAAAGCCATATCCTGATTGGGTAGAGCAAGCATATCCATGGCCTAGAAAGTATAAAGTGCCAGAATTCTCATTATTTACCAGTTTAGGAGAGATGTCTACTCTAGAACACATAGGGCGACTCACGCTGCAAAATGGTGAAATAACCGACTACCATAAAATGAGGTTGTTCCCTCGTTCATTAATAGGAGTAGCTTTCTCCTGGTTCATCAATTTGCAAGCAAACTCTGTCCAAACATGGCAACAATTGGAGTAATTGTTCCATGCTCAGTTTTATAAGACTTGAGTCTAAAGTTACTTTGACCGATTTGACGAATCTACGTCAAATGCCAAACGAATGGACAGAAGGTTTCCTTCAAAAGTTCAAGACAGCAAGAAGTAAATGTTTTGTACCTTTGCTCGAAAAGGAGTTTGTCAAAATCGCTCAAAGTTGTCGAAACTTTGATTTGAAAAAGAAATTCCAAGACAG